TTGGTCCCTCTGCAGCAGCTCTTTGGTCCCTCTGCAGCTGCTCTTTGGTCCCTCTGCAGCTGCTCTAACCACGGGCCACCAGTTGATGGCCACAGCTGTAACAGGTTGTTGCGGCTCCGGACACTCTTAATGTAGCGAACAATGGCGTAAAAATGGCTTTGTGATCGTAAAGGTTGCCTACCTCTGCACTAGACTGAGGAGCAGCTTCTACCCTGAAGCTGTTAGACTCAAAATTTCATAACCAGGATAATCAGTGATAATCACAAAGCTCTCTCAAGCCAGTCCTTCTTAACACCACTTGGAGCATTACCAGCATGTTGAACTTTCTCTGATGTTTCAGCTTTTGTTGAATCTGCCATGGTGGTATTTACTGTTCAGCAAAACCTATCAGGTTAAACCGTCGCAATCTTAGAGTTTTCCAACAGGTAAATGTTTGTATTTAAGTGAGCAGCGAGTTTCACACACTAATCAGCTCTGCAGTTCCCCCAAAGTACAGTTATAAGCCATCTTTTCAATAATTGGGCGCCTGTTTTAGGTTTTACCCCATCCATGAATATTATAAGTAAATGCCTCCAGTGGCAGTGTTACTTAATATGAGCTTAATCCTAACAGGTACAATGAACCAGGCTATTTCAGTGTTTATTTACCCAAATGCACTTAAAAATAAAAAAACCTGCAATTTTCACTAAAAGTCTGACAGTTTAATTTACCTGAATTTGCTATCAAACAGTTAACTATAAACCAAGCGTGATTAACATTTTTATTTACCCACAAGCTTTTCAAAGAAATGACTCTGGAGCAAGGTTTCACCAAAAGTCTAACAGTAATTTGCAGCTTTCAGTTCTGAAAAACTGTTACACTGTGTTTTAAACAGCAGGTGGTGGTGCAAGCTTATTTTTACCACAGAGTGACTGTAGCTACACTCTTCGACGGTAGGAGTCACAGATGACTTCCTGTGAACTGTCCTGTTGACATCCGGTCGTTCGCCATTAGCTTCGATTAGCAACGGACGAACACGGTCCAAATCAGCATTTATAGACGGATTTAAAGCTTGAACGTGTCGTTGCTTCAAAAACACGCTCTTTAGGCATAAACTCATCAGGTTAGGACCGATTTGGGGGCTTTTATTCAGCTTTTTTAACCACAAAAGAAGGCTCCGTTTGAAAACGAGCTTCATTTCCGGGGTCACGTGACTTTACAGATACGTGGACATCGGGGTGGGCTTTTTGCACTGACGCCAGAGTGAGTGGACGTACACGGCGTTACGTCACCGGCTTCTCAGCAAATCAGAACATTTCACACAGCGGTCCTCGACCAATCACAGCTCGTGTGTATTTGTGTAAGCTAGCTCTTTTAGCTTCAACAGTCCGGCGATAATTTTACCCATTAACGCTTTAAAAAGCACAAATTAATCCTGGAAATGTAGCGATTAACATTCAAGCAGCTTCTGAGTCGGCGCTCAGTTTCACAGACAGCATTTCACCATTTAAAACATGACTCGTTCGAGTCCATTTATCAGAACCGGGTCGGAACCGTAGAACCACCGGTTATGAAAAGAGTTTCAACAGAATGATGCGTCTTTTCTCTCTGCTTCCAGCTTAATCACACACACAGAGAATGACAATTTCCAGCTTCAAATGAACATCAACACAATACTGTATCGTTCTGAACCCCACAGCCATGAAAAATATCTTTGCAAGGTCAAAACTTGGACTTTTTATGCCAACATGAAGCGTCCTCCACAATATCAGGTCACACATAATTTATATCTTCAGAAACCGTACGGGCCACCAATATGTAGTATGTCGGGACAGCTTTTGCTGTGGACATCCTATTAATTAATTATTCTTAAGGCTAGTTCAAGCACAAAGAATATTAATTGTTTAATTAACAACGGGCTCTTTCTTTTTCGAGTTAAATTTCTGCCATGTGACCAAGATAACTTGAGAGTGGAGTGTATAATTAGTGACATGAGACGTCATTTTATCTTTGACCCGTCAGAATAAATGCGGTCGTTTATTTAACAGAATCAAAATTTAACATCAAAACATGTACACTTGATTTGCTGATCTGTTTCTGATTAATAAACTTAGCAAGTTCAAATAACAAGACAACAGAGGATTACTGATGGAGAATAATTCATCTCTGAAGGCACCTAGCTAGATTTACTGGAAAAGAGGTTTAAAGAGGAGATTTAGATGGATGGATGGAAGTATGTTGACCAGAAATGGCACCCTTCATCCGACCCCAGCTCAGCCCTCGGTACACTCGGTGCGTGACGACTCGTTACCTTTGCAGAAGATAAATCAGCTCTGGTGCAGAGGTCCATTTCAACGCTACCTTTCAGCGTCTCCGGTCAGGGTGGCTGAGAATTATCCGAAGTAGTGACGTTCAACAGAATAAGCTTCCTTAGAAGGAATCTTCCTTAGAAGTTGAGAGCATTTAATGCTCGGGGTGAGATCACAGTGAGGCGTGCTGTGACTCCGCTGGAATGGACGGACCCTTGGCACATGGTCCAAAATCCATCAGCTATTAGAGTAGAGACTGTTAGACCTTAATCTCATGTTAAGACTGAAAGTTCCAGTAAGAACTGAAAGTTCCAGTAAGTTTTGACTTTTAAAGGGTATCCAGTTCCCGATGTAAGACTGATCACAGCCCTCCTGACACTGAACAGCATACACCGTATGTTGAGGGGGTATCAGAGAAACTGAGACGTTTATTTTCTAAACATAACGTCCCAGTGGCTTTTAAACCCCAAAATACATTAAAGACTGGTTCATCCCAAAGATCCAGTCCAGAGTAATATTATGTATGCTGTTCAGTGTCAGGAGGGTGATCAGTCTTACATCGGGGAAACTAAACAGCCACTGGCCAAAAGGATGGACCAGCACAGAAGATCAACATCATCAGGCCAGGACTCTGAGGTCTACACTCATCTCCAGGTCAGAGGTCACTCTTTCAGGGATGAAGATGTTCACATCCTGGACAGAGAGGAACGATGGTTTGAGAGAGGAGTAAAGGAGGCCATCTTTGTGAAAAGAAATCGTCCATCATTAAACAGGGGTGGAGCCTCCGGGTTCAACTGTCCCCCTCTTACAATGCTGTGATTGCTAGTATCACTCAGCCCTCTGCGAACAGTAAACAGCCATCAGGTGCTAATGATCCATTGTTAGGCTGATGGTCCTTCTTGAGCATGTGAGCAGCTGGTTTTGGTTGTCACCAGCAAACTGGTTGATCCACTCTGAGAAGGTGCTATTTAAGAGACTGAGCTGAATACAGCACTTCAGACTGAGGAAGTCCTCAGGATGAGAGACGAAACGTTTCTAGATTTTTTTTGCTTTGTTTTGTTTTTGTTTTTTTTTGAATGTCCAGAGGACCAGATTGATCTTTTTTGGATTGTTCTACCTGGATTATTGAGCATGCATCAGGATATAGAATATAAACCATTTTCCAAACAGCTCTGGTTAAGGTGACATGGTTTTGCTAAAACCGTGGAACAAAGTGGTTCAACATGTCCTGATGCTGCTCAGTAATCCAGGTAGATAAATCTAACCAGGTTCAGTCAGGTCCTCTGGAGGATTCTTCTTGTCCAAATGTTTCGTAGGACTGGGCCATATCACATCATTCACGATAATACCGGTAAAAAAAACTTGCCCTGGAAAATAAATTATATCATGGTATACACATTTTATGATGTAAATACGTCAGTGTTTCCCCTACCATTATACAAGCGGAGCACCCTGCCCCGTTAACAGAGCCGAGCGCACCGAACTACCAAACAGAACTGCTCCCACCACCACCACCACCTGTCTATACTGGTGTAACGCTAATTA